ATGCAGTTTTTTGTGGTGTTGCTATTTTCCATTTGTAGACACAGATGCAAAGTTGCTGACCAGGTTCAGGGGATTAATAACCTGTTTTTGACAACTTTAAAACTGCTGAACTGAACACTGAAGGGACCAGAGGAGGGCAGAGGGTTGAGAAAGAAGCGCCCCTGCAAGAAAGACAAATGCCATTTAAGGTCTAAATAAGGAACACGGTGTGTCTCGCCATAAAGGTGAGCAGACGGGTCTGTGTTTCTCCGTCCTCTCATGTATAATACATCTTTCTCTGTTTCACCCCAAGGTTCAGAAGCCCAGGGCCCCAGAGAGTCACACAGTCTTTTAAAGATATGTGCTCACTTAATCACTGAAGAAAAGGGCCCCTAGAGCTAGCCTAATATTATAATTAATTAATTCAAGCAAAGAGGGGTATTAAATTTCCTCCCTCTTAGGATATCAGCAGAATACATTGACCTTTGTTGAAATCACCCTTTAATTCGAATCAGGTTTTCAAGCCGCTTACAGACGAAACTTGTTTCTTTTTCCTCTTCCCTATTCTTTCGCTTCTCTTTGTCCCTGCGAGTTTGTGCAAAAGATGAAGAAATCTGTGAGGATTTGAGTTTGTTTCTATACTGTTCGTCCATTTTGTGTCTCATGATTCATGCTTTTTGTGCCTCACCCAAATCATGCACATGAGAGTGTGCCTGAGCATATGTAGGTGAGGTGTGTGCACAAAAGTGCTTGTGAGTGATCCCTAGTTTTATCTCCCTGCTGTAACACAGAAAAGAACAGAAACTTTTCTTATTACCAGAGAGAGTGGGGGAATAGCAGGCAGCTAAGTCTCTGTCTATCTCTTTCTCAGTGGTGTAGCTGACTCCCTAGTGTACTCAGGGTCTTCAGTAACTCTGACTGAAGTTCAGAGGGGTTAGGTAGTATACTCAAGAGGAAGAGGGGAGACAAGAGGGGGAGGGGGGTGTTAAGCGGGATTGTAACGGTGGCAGCTTTAAAACAGAACTTTAAATCTCCACCTACTAGACGGAGAGATAGATAGAGAGAGAGCGGGAGGACAATGGCGTCATGTGGCGTGCCGTTATCTTCAGGTCTCTGAAAGGCAGGAGAAGAGAGGATGAGAATAAAAAGAAGCTTAAAGAAGGGCATAAATATGATAACAGCTCTGGGCTGCATAATCTCTGCAGGATTTCTGCTGCTTTTCAGGCAGGTATGGATTTTTTTTTAAAGCCAAATCTTTGCGACCTTTTAAGTTCAGCGAAACAGCTTCTCAATCACAAAAACACCAAACAAAGTGAAAGAGGATTTGCAAGATGAATGGATGAGTGGATGGCTGGGTGGATGGATTGGCTGATAGAGAAACAAACACAGCAAAAGAACAAATAGATGTCAGGAGCTTAGGTTTGAATGAATCCTGTGTGTAACCATTAGTTAGTCAGTAATCTTCATGGTTATGAAGGACGACAATAGGTCCTTCATTTGAGGTGAAGCTCAAGATAAATTCCAATTCTAAAAAAAAGACCTGCAATGAAGAGATGATGCAGGAATCATCACTCTCAGAGGCACTCAATCAGCGGCCAGAGGCGAGGATGGAGTAGTTAACCTTCAAAATGTGACAAATTCTATGTCAGACGAGTTATTTATCTTAATACTGATGTGCTTAATTTAACTCCCCACCAACCAACCTACAAAACCAAGAGATGTTGAGGTATTTGTGCTCCATCTTTCATCATTCAAACAGCTGAACAACAGTTTTCCCATTATAATCCCCAACCGGCTGCCGGTGGAATTTAGAGAACATGCCACATCTTAATTTTACAGAGGTTGCACCAGATGCTCTTTCTGCCAGTGGATGACATTCAATGCAATTCATAACAACTTATTTGTTTTCAGCGTTAAGAAATGTCAGTCAGGCCTAGTTGGTTTTCTACTTCAACTGTGTTGTGGACCACTAACTCCCCCTACTGGCACTGGAGAAATTACTGTAGGAAACCAGGAGACATGGCACCACATTTTGGTAAAAAAGCAACAACGAAATGACTCAGTTCATTTATAATTCATTATATTAATGTTAGTTAATTTTTCAAAATGTATTTCTTTTTTTACATTTGTTTCAATAGAACAAAAAGTTAAAGATATTGGATATTTAAGGTAAACTGTGCATGTGCACAAACTCCTCTCAGTAGCCATCTTACTTTGTGCAGGCGGCATCCAGTAAATCCCCATACAAGCCACTCCTCACTTCTCCATCAGCTGCAGAAGAAAGTCAGTTAATCATCTTCTATACCGCTCGTCCTTAGAGGGTCAGGAGTCAATCCCAACTACATTACATTACAGGTCATTTAGCTGACGCTTTTATCCAATGTTACATTACATTTTTAACCCATGGCATTTTACGTGTTTTTGCCTGGGGAGCAATTAGGGGTTAGGTGTCTTGCTCAGGGACACTTCGACATGGGGCAGCCGGGACTTGAACCACCAACCTTGCTGTTCCCAGCGCACCCTCTCTACCCTTGCACCACGTCACCCCTAGTCACAACTAGCATCGCACAAGAGACGGGGTCCACCCTGGACTGGACGCCAGTCAATTGTAGGGCTGACACAGAGATAGAGAATAATTCACTTCACCATTCACACACCTACGGGCGATATAGAGTCACCAATTAACCTCTCCTGCATGTCTTTGGATTGTCGGTGGAAGCCGGACCTTCTTGCTGTTATACTGTTACAGCCGTAATGCTGCTAACTAGCACACCACACACCGCTTGCAGAGGAAAATTAAAAAATAAAAGTTTGAATGAACAATGAAGAATCATACCACACCCCACCAACTGCACAATGACCACCCAGAAAAAGACTGATCCTTTCACGCCACAGTTAATGGCGGGGACATTATTCATCTCTCCAGCCTATTTGAGATACTTTTCTTTGAGGAATAGCGGCAAGAGGGGTTGAAGGGAGTCAGAGAGGAGTATTAAATATGTAGAGGAAGATGGACAAAGGTGCGGCAGAATAAAGAGGGGCAGGAGAGGTGGGAATGAAGAAGGACACTGGGGCTACAGAGTTGAGACCGAGTTAGTTAGTGAGAGACTGCGAGGGAGAGAGAATGGAAGGCTATCACGGATCTGATTCAAAGACTAAACAGCTGATGCTAGAGGCAAAAGCCAACACTAGAATAACACATTGAGGAAGAAGACAATGTGATCCGACTGCATCCCCTTAAGATAGATTATGGATGCAGGATCATGGAGCGGTCGCTTTGAATGCGTTTGTGAAATCTCAGTATCAACCTTTCAAAGAGTCAAAGCTACTTTTACAATGACTCTGCCTTTATTCAAACGTGTTTAAAAGTAGGGATAAAAACCACTATACTTTCTGGTGGAGTCCATCAACCCAAACTGTAGAACAACGGAAGCAACTAAATAACTGAGGAAATCGAATAGTTTTAGAGGTAAAGCCCAAAACTTCTGAAGGTCCAATCTGCGGTGCTGATGAATTATGGAGCTAAATGTAATCTTGTGTCATGGTGCTATCTTCATTACAGGCTTTTTGAAAGCGGGCCATCAGGTCCTACAGGAGTATGTATGCCTGCAAAAGCTATAAAAAGTGGCTCCAATCTTCATCCATGTTACAAAACCCAGTATTTTTGGTGTGACCTCCAATCTGCCTGTCGGGAGAATGTACAGTCTGTGGCCTGAGCAGAAGAGATCATAAAGCAGACTGTGATTGATGGTATCTTAATGGAGAAGGATGGATCAATAAGTAATATCAGCGTGTTTTAATTCAAGGCAACACACATAAACCTTTACCAACTTCACAATGTCACTCAGTGTTCCTAAAAGTTTCCTCCACTTCCCTTCGGACAAAAAGAGATAAATCCATCAAAAAGTCGTCTCAGTTTTATAGTCCTCCCTCCTTCCCTTGCCTCCTTACAGTGTCTCTTCCTTACAGTGTAAGGAGGCAAGGCTTACACCCTCCCCATCTCCATTTTGATGTCTGTCTATTAGCAGAGGGTGAGGCCTTTCCTGCTCTCACATCCAGGGGCTAAATTAGCTCAATCAGCCCCCTTTCACCTCTCTTCCGTGGGCTTCAAGCTGAGTGACACACTGCTCCCCTGGGAGGGAGGACTCATACACACACACACACACACACACACACTAAACCCATCGGCCAGAAGACGACTATGGAGGGAGGGATTGTTGTAGGGACAGGGAGAGGGAAGAATAATAAAAAGGATTGGTTGGAGGAGAGGAGAGAATTAAGTGTAATTTCTCCTTGCTCTGATAGAGGATGTATTCTCAACTCTGAATGGAGCTCCTTGTTTAACTTAAGAAGGAAACCTCAGTGATTATTTACTTCTCCCTATTCCTCACCCTTAGGGCACGATGCAGCTCAAGGTTCTGTACCAAACCCACTTCAAGAGGCCCGGCCTTCAGAAAAAGAGGTGATGAGTGTTCCTCGGCATGTGTCTCTTTATTCCACAACAAGCACACTTCGCTAAGGCCAAACTCTGAGTACCCGTGCCATGATTTTTCAAATTGCCCCTCCCTGTTTCATTTGTCTCAACCCTTCCCCTCTCTCCCGCTCACCAAACAGCCACCCAAGTATCTAAGGAAGTGCAAGGCAGGCACTTCTGCAGCATTAATAGCAGTGTGTTAGGGGGAGAGATGGCCGAAAAGGTGGCAATCGGAGTGAGCCATACGATCTACTCTTTGTAGCTCTATAGGGATTTATTAGACTGGGGAGTACATTAGCATCATAAAGACCCTGGAGAATGGGCGTGTGGATGGGCTGCAGGCACCACCACTACACTTAAACATGCTCTGCAGCATCACTCAATCTGCGTATGTGTGTGTGTATGGGGAAGAAGATTGCCCTAATTTAACTTAAAAAAGGCTGTTAAATGGTTTTATGGATCATCCTGATGCCTGTGGACTAATACTTCACAATATATAGGAATGAGCAGCGAAAGAGAAGAGGCCCAAAAAATAAGGCAGGTAAAATGAATTTAAGAAAATGATTTTATCTAATCTGCATCAATAAATGTAATTTGTCAAAACCTTTATATTTATTTTTGTTTAAAGTATGTACTGGTATGTCCTGCTAGGCCCGAGATTTTATGAAATGGGAGGCCACCAGAGTAGGAAATAAAGAAAATCAAAATGCATTGCAGTTGTTTGCTGCACAAAAAAACATAGCTTGCATTTCTCACGTTTGCTCGCCAATTGTGTGAATACACAAAAAATAACCTGGCACATCTACATTATGGGTCTCTGGTGCGGTCTGGTGGACATATAATGTAATAGCATTCATTCAGCTGTTATGAATCTGTCTGCCTATAACAAATTACAAATCCAATGAGACAGTAAAATAATGAATAAATGCAAAGAACATTTTTACTTACTTTCCCTATCTTACATTTCACTAATGGACAAGATATGGACTTGACACTATTCTGCATTTACAGTACCAACATTTTAAATGTCTTGTTACAAAAACTCCCCAAATGAGATCTCAAAACACACACACGCCCAAAATGTTTCATAAATTGCATCAATAAGAAACACTAAGTCAGGGAATGGATTCTGGTGAAATTTATATTCTCAGTAAAATCAGAACCACTTCTACCTGTGTCGTTTGCTTTGCACAGCGTCCTCTAGTGGAAGAATAGAGGAGGCCTAAGCAGTTCTTTGGAGTGTTGGCTGGGTGAAAGTGCAACTAAAGTCAAACTGTGGCTGATAGGCAAAAGGCACAACTCTGGGAGAAAGACAGCGACCGATTCAGTCAGTTACACCAAGCCATGGCAACCATACCTCCACGGCTCAGAGTTTATTTGAAGTCGGTCATCTTCTAGTTTCCATGGAAACCAAAGTCAGGAAGGACGGGGGCATGGCAACCTGCTTAAGTCCGACCAGAACTATTGGTGAAGCTTAGATTCATCAAATGAGCAATTTGAATTTAATCAAATCAAATAATCAAGTTTCTGTCTGTCTCCCAAATTCAAAGTTAAAATAGAAGGAACAATAAAAACCCAATCATATAAAAATGGCATTGCAAATATACATAATCTCTTCATCTCTTTAAAGTCAGTTCTGTTCTGTAGGTCTACAAACAGTTCCCCAATCAATAAAACATTGTGGCCGGTGTGCCTTTTCAGTGTGCTTACAGAAAATGGCTCGGAGAGGAAAGGGTAGTTTTGGAATAAAATTGTAATAGATCTAAAACAACAAATACAAATAAAATACATTTAAGTTACTGAAATAAATGTGATTCCATAATTTTTCATTTACAAAGTCAAAATAACAGTTTCCAGTGCTTTGAGAGATAGAATAAACAAACTATAGTAAAGAAAACAAACAGTTATTTTAATCAACCAAAAACAAAATCACCATAAACATTTCTTTCTACCTTTAATCAGTACTGATTATAAGCTATATCAAATCAAAGCCAAGCCCCAGGTTTACCACAGCAGAGATAAAAATCTGTTCCACTTCAGCCCTCCCTCACCATCACTATGACCGCTGCAGCGAGTGGAAAAAACAGATTCCCTTTAAGTGGTAGTTGGAAAAGCGGACCAGAGTTTTACCTCTACAGCCGGCATCTTCCATCGACTCGTCGGGGGAGAAACTGAATAGCCGGAAACTTAACATGCTGATTTGAAAACTGCCTCAAGGCAGCACTGTATGTATTGAATGTATATGAACACTATGAGGCATGTTTGCGAACCTCGCGAGCCTATGCACATTTAATGCATGCCTGCTTGTGAACAGAGTGAGACAGTGAATGCATGCAAATGCGTGCTGATGTTGTGCATGTGGAGATTACACAACATCTGCTGTCAGTTGAGACAAAATATCGCTTTCTCTTTACAGGATCGAACCCGGTCAATTCATTTCCTTCAACCGGGGCAAGCTGATTCCTACAAATGGTGAAATAAAAATGCAGCGTTTGTCTCCTGCCTCGACACTGCTATAGATGGTACAGAAGCAAACCTCGTAAGCATCAATAAGCATCATTAGAGTTGATATTAAATATGAAATACTAATGATGATCTATGAAAAAATTTAAAGGAACACTGATAGGGGCCATGAGCTGGACACAGTTCAGGTTAACATCTGCTACTGCTTAAAAATGATCCGCCCTGTGTATTCTGTTACAGTACCTGAGTATTTTGACACCTCGCAGTTTAGGACGACCCGCTGTATTCTGAAGGCCATCCAAATGTTTTCTCCACAGTAAAGCTCATGACTCTGTCAAGTGTTAAAGGTGTAGAAACCGGGGGACAGCAGTGTGTGTTTCGGAGAACACAACGACTAAAGCCAGAAGTGGGATTGCATGCGATAAATTAAAGGTGCTTTGCTAAAGCCTGGATTATCAAGCTCCTCTGGTGAGTTTTCCAATGTTTCCTAAAATGTGGGCGCTTGAAGAAGACACTTTGGCTTTAAAAAGGCTATCACGGATCTGATTCAAAGACTAAACAGCTGATGCGAGAGGCAAAAGCCAACACTAGAATAACACATCGAGGAAGAAAACAATGCGATCCGACTGCACTTGTGATCCTAACTTGCCCTCTATCAAGTGAAACAATGCACTTGGTTGTCCTTGTATCTAATAACTTCAATCTATTTAACTGCCGGTTTTGTCCCTTGTTCAATTGTGATTCAGAGCAACCTTTACGGAAACAAGGCCGAGTGTGCAATATCACTCCTGAGCTGGCAGTGTTGTTTCACCTCTTGTAAATTATTTGTTGGGCAAAGATTCAAGCTCCTCGGTATATTTCACATGCGCTTGTGTCTATGTGCAAACGTTTGCACCGTACTAATCATTTTTTAGTGTAGGCTATGATGGTTGTGTACCTTCTTTTGTTTGTGGGCGGGGTGTAACTGTACCATAAATGAGTGTCATTGGTGTGCGTTCAAATAGTGTGATGTGAAAAGTATGTGTCTTGATGTGTCGCAGCAAATGTCTGGTTGCCGTATCCTTTTTGTTGTATGTGGTGTATTGTGTGCCGACGTACCGTTACTTTTTAAAGTGGTTTTACCTTTTCACTGAAACCTTTTCTAAAACCTCTGCATGTGCTTGGCTCACTTTTGTCTGACCGAATGTGTGTGCTGGTATGCACGTGCCTACAATATATCTCCATCCTCTATGCTGAAGCTGGATCTGCGACTGGAGTCCACCGAGGCTTCAGGCGACATCGCCGAGAGCAGTGGGTCTCCTCCCATGGGCGACAAGGGCTCGTCCATCATCAGAAAGCCCAGCTCGCCTCTCCTGCCATGGACGTCCAGTCCACCGAGGTCGCCTAGCCCTGACATGCCGTCTGAGAAGTTAGGTATCCCATCACACAAGTCCAGCGACTGGGTAAAGTCAAATGGCTGGGAGCTGCCCACAGCTGGGAATTGGATCGGTGGCTGGGGCTGCTGCATGTGTTGGGGGAGCGGTGGCAGCTGCCTGTGCGGTTGCTGAACCTGGCCCTGGTGATGGAGTTGGCTCTGCTGGAGGAAGTGGTGCTGCTGGACCTGTGGATGAGCCAGGTTTTGGGGTAGGTGCTGTGGATGGTGGTGGGCTTGTGCCATGGAGTGAGAGAGGTTCTCCTCTGGGCTGGTCTCTTGTTTTATGTAAGAACCCATCGGGTCAGGCGGGTTCAGGGCTGAGGGAGAGGGGCTGGGGAGACCATGAATACGAGCCTGCATCTCCAACTCCTGTAGACAGAAAGCAACATTGTCAGTCCCCAAATATTTGCTGTGATTGTGTTTCTCTGCATGTGTGTGGGTTACCTGGATGCGTAGCATCAGTTGTTTGTTGGCCATCTCCATCCTTTTGAAGTTATTTTCCACCTCTCTGGATCTATGTGCGTCCTTCTGCATGCGTTTGATGTACTCTACAGATGCCCGCAGTATAGTGCCTTTGTTCCAGCGCATATCACTATGCACACAGTAAAGTATACACAGGCCATTGCATAGATAAGTCCTTAGCAGTACCCACTAAATCTCACTGAAAGTACATTGTTTTAAAAGCAACTCACAGGTCATTGCTTTGGGAATCATGGTGCCAACTCCTTGATACGGTCATTGATGTTGAATCGCCTCCTCCTTTCAACTATTGAACAGGCAAGAAAAGACAATTGGGGGAGAAAAAAATACATGAAGATAGTAGTGCTTAGCAATGAAAGGGGAAAAAACACATCCGTGAAACCAGTAAACATGACACAGGGCTGCACTGTGGTGTATATGATAAAAGTGCTGATAAGCTCACACTCTATATATAGGGTGAAGTACAAAAATGGACAAACGTTGAGGAGCCCCCCCCCCCACACAAAAACACATGAACCCAGTCACAGGCAATTACCCTCAAGTGCCAGGACAGCACAAAATTACCAGGTTAACCATCCACCCACTAGTTGCACGATCAGCTAAATCAGGGTGAGGCTATAAAAAAGTGTTTTTGCATGAGACAGGTTATGGTGGGTGTGGGTATGTACCCTCGTTAACACCATATTTTGAAAACTGGACGTGTGTCCTTCTGCTCAGTTCACCAAGTACATAATGTTGTGCTCAATATATAAATGTGTTCAATGTCTGATCTGACCCAAACTTTGGGGGTTATAAGAGTAAAACATTTTGTTTTCCTATGATAGGAGCCTGCATGCTGAGGCAAAGACTTACTCAGATTGTGGTTGTCTTTCTTCTGTCTCTCCTTGGCCTGTGCACGGATTTCTGTGTCATTGCAATAACAAAGAGTGATTAACTAATAGCTAACACTGATATTTCTCAACAGAAACAGTCTATTAATTGTGTCACACATTACAACATATATTACAGGACAAGGTTCTGTGTGGGAATCAAATCTTTTGTTGATCTTAGTAGTTCAGTCAAAGTGTACAACTTTATCTTTCGTACCTGACATTTCTCGTTTGACAGTCAGGTTGGCTGGACAGGAGTTGCTGGTCATAGCGATGGCTGGACCCTTCATCCCCGGACCTGTATACACATCCAGGTGACTGGTAGAAAGGGGGAGCTGGGGAGGATGCACACACACACACACACACACACACACACACACACACACACACAAAATAGTATAATAATAATACAAATTAGTACAATCACTTCAACTGTACTGAATGAAAAACCCATTGATGTACACCTTTATGCAATGCTTTGTTGTCCCATACAAAGAATGAACACTAAGGAAACTAAAGGAATTAAAACACAAAGTAATGTGGAATCAAACTAAGGTTACTATTGGAATAAATATGTTTACAGCTCCATATACCTTGGTAAGTATCTTTATAAAGGCTGTGTTCGTGTTTAGTGTGCTGTAAAGAATAGATAGTAGACAATAATGCAATAATATCACACCTAAGAGGAGCCTGCCAAACACGCAGCAATGATTGACTATGGCTTTATTCTCTCCCCTGCCTGCTGCAGCTTCTGGACTCACACGGGTGGAGTGGGTTGCTAACTCTTGCACTTTGGACGAAAGCTGTGATTTAGTTATAAATAGACTCCTAAAAAGACGTGATTTCCGTTTAATTATATCATATAATATGAGTGTGATGGACTTTTGATGCCTCGTTACAAATTGTATTATACGTCGTGAAGTTTGGGAAAATGTGACACGGCTAATGAGGACTGCAAGATAAAGATGTTGAAGGAAGAGATACCTTATCTGTTTGCTACTGTGAAATGTGAACTTAAACACATTTAGACTCATAAACACACACACACACACCCCTCTAGAGGTTTACTTCTGTATGTCAATGATACCTCTTTGTTAAAAATCTCACAAAAGACCGCATAAATGCAGTATAATCTAGTGAGAATAAGATTATATTGTTGTGTTTTACATTTTTGCCAACTGGACCTACGAATTTGCACGTTAAGCTGTTAATATATGGAAAATCCCATCTCAATGGGTTGCATTGATCTTCATTGGTGTTTCTTACAGGACGTTATAGACTGTGATGGGTGGACCTCAGACCCTGTAGGGGGACCAGGGAATGCAAACAATGCACATGCCTCAATCTACTGCACTTTGAGGGAACATTTAAGAGGGTGGACCTATGAAGAACTTTGTCCACTTGTTAACAATGATGTGCTCTAGTAAACAATTTAACCATATATGTATTAGTTGTATAGATTCAAAAGGTGACGACATAACAAAAAACACACTCTCAACGCATAGAAAACAAGCTTGAGCTCCCTGTTTCAAGGTGGGTCGAAAGAACCCAATTGTTGAATATTTCAACATTTTTTGTTAATTACCTAGACTGTGACATTCATCGACATACTACAGCTGCGAAAAACCTGATATTAACTGTGTTTCAGTGTTATTTTTTGAAAACAAAGCTGTGAACATTTATGACAAAAACCCAAATAAAATCTGATCACAATGACACACCCTAGTATGGTTACTCAGTGTCTTCTGCTGATGATATAAAATAACGGTTACAGATGAACTTGTATTCTCAGCCTCCTCTGTGTTCTGCCCTGACCTCCCATGTCCAGACAGCGTATGTGTGTCACAATGCAACACTCCCAACGAGAACCCTCCTTACTCAATGGAACAAGCAAGTCTGATCGGGACACGGTATTGCTGAGTGTAACCATCCATGCAAACTCACACACACTTAAGAGTCAAAATGTTCACTTGTGCCTGGTATTCAGTGGCATTCCCAGCTTTTACTTAACTTTGAGATTCCAAGAATTCCATGGAGTTTGCTGCTTTAATCCTCATCAGGATTAGCAGGTAATCACTGCTCACTGGTCTGTCGGTTTGGAACAGGCTCTGAGTTTGGTTCCAGTGTGTTTTACACAAAACAATGTACACATCATCTTTTGTATGTTCTGATGACTATTAACATATTGATCTGCACATTGAGTTTCTCTTCGAGCTTCTTTATTGTTTGAGTTTACACACACAGGCCCGTGCGCACTCACACATTCTCATCAGGGTTGATCATTTGCCTAATCTAATCAATCAGTGTAATGTTACAAGTACACATTGAGTAAAGCCATCAACGGCCGAGGACATATTATCAGATAAAATAACAAGAGGATTTTTGGGTGACTTCCTTCCTTTTTCTTTCTTTTTCTCTCTCACACGCACAGCAAGTGAAGCAGTGAGTCAGATAGACAACCACACACAATGAGCTGAGCATGCAATAATTGAAACTGCTAATATTTATACTTTAGTTGCATGGTAAACCCCAACGAGATGATCAATATCAACTCAAATAAGCAATCAATTCTGGTTTTGAGTCTTGCAGAACCATCCATCACATATACAAACACAAAAATAAAACCTAAAACCTCCCCTATCCCGCCTCCCCTGCTGTAGCTCATTTTATAATCAGGCACCCGAGGCCGGGAGTTAGCGCTGTTGCTGCATCCTGTGATTCACTCAGAATGAAAGCTGAACTTCCACAGTAACAAAAGTCATGCAAAAGGCTCTTCAATGTCTTACCAGCTGAATCTGTTCTCCTTCAAAAACTTCCACAATGGCATACGTCTTATTCATCTCCTTCATTCTCTGCTACTTCCCTCACTAGGCCAGCGGTGTTTCTTCTTCTCTCTCAGGCACCAGCGCACACACAGCTGTCTCTGGCAGTGCCACCCCTGTCCTGAGACACTGACCTCGGCAACAGTGATCCTGTCTATCTTCTTCCTCCGTCCCCCTCCGAAAAAGAGTGAACTCCCCCTAACTGGACTTTCAGCTTGTTTTCCTCTTGCACAAATTGCCCCCATCCCCCTTTCCCTCCTCCTTTCTTCTCCTCCCCCTCACTTCTCCACCTCTCTATCTTCCTCCGAACATCTTGTAAACAAGTTGAACTCTAACTGCTAGCAGTTTAATTGTTAATTTTCTGAGTTTGTTCCCTCAGACACAGAGCACACCACAGTCCTCGAGTGACATGTCTTCCCTACAGTTTTAACTAGGTCCGTCGTGGATTAAGGATGGAATGTTTAGTGCTTAAGTCAATTACACAGTTTCATGTGTGTATGTGAGCTTGAGTATATGGGTGCATTGGGACATATATAACTATGCAGAAAAAGAGTGTCAACAAAACTGGTTTATGGTTTGATTTCAATGGCTACAAAAATATTGTAACGCTCATTCTGTTTTAGGAGGAATACAGCAACAACACCGTAGCCACACCTAATCACAGCAACCCAGAACATTAGCATCAAATTAAAGGAAAGACATTTAAAGACTGAACAGAATCTTATAATGTGGTTGCAGAAACTACTAAAAACGTCTGATAATTGATGACTCGACATGACCTGAACCAAAACCTATAGCGTGTATAGCGGACAAAGCCACTAAATATTCTTTGAATGATGTACAATATTATTGAATTGTAGAGGTGACACATTAAACGTATATCGATATATTGCAAGTTTATTAGAGTTAACCATTTTCAACATGAATTATGATTTAAAATAAGGTAATTTCAATTTTAATAAAGATATCACTCAAAAAATGAATGATTTCTTGCTAGTGGAAAACTAGTTTATAAAGAATGTAGTTCCCTCATTTGTATTTCTTAACAAGTGTCCTTTTAGCAGATTTTCTCTGTACAGCCCAAATTCGCAAATAGGTTTTAACAGATTTTAACGGTTTTTACAATCTCTGCATATCACATCCTCTGTAGTTAGACCGCCCCAAGCCCCCCCTCCCACCCACACTTCAAACGTCCTGAAACAGGTAGGTAAGTGTTTGGTGAACATCTAAAATATGCAACTGAAAAGGGAGTCCAAAGTACATCATATGTATAGAAGACCATTAAGTCAAAATAAGTCTTGAAATCACACTTTGCAGGGGGTTGGTTGTACTCACTGTGTTTGGCATCTGGACAGGGTCGATGTATGCCTGAATATCGTCGTAATTGGACTGCATGCTGATGATGTCATCAATGACCTCATCCATCTGGAAGAAAAATCCTGGGTTTGTACGAATATGACAAGCTTCAAGACCTATCGTTGATCATTTTGAGACAAAAATGCAACTAATGTGTATTTACATGCAAATACCCTACAACACTGAAGAACACTGTCACTACCCAAGTGTTACCAAACTACCAAAAACCTGCTGTCATGCTGCATGAAGGCCTCCGGGTGCATGTCTCACTCAAGAGAAGACCTTTAAGACAGCTATCATTTCACGGATGCAAACGGTCAGACTAGAGAAGAGAATGGGTCAAAGTCTGACAGGTTCAAAGGGCCTTACATTCTGCTGTTCCACTGTCACTTGTTAAGCTGTAATTAACATTGCAAGGCCACAATGGAGCCTTTAAATTGCAATGATAGACAGTCTCACCTTAATCCACACGCCACCTGTACGCACAACACATTAACAGCAACGTATTCACAAATTTCGCTGCACCCAACCAAAGAGCTATTAAATCATTATGACTTCTATAAAATACGGATATCATGTCACTTAGATGGCTGTATTCGATTCTCATAAATGTATATCAGTGTAATTAAGTCATATTTTTGCGATATTTGTTCAATCTGGTTCGTATAAACCATACTTTATAATCTGACCAGGAGTTTATGTGTACGCCACTGTCAGCCCAAACTCTACCTCTGTCTCGTGGCTGGAGCTGATGTTGAGCATGGCCATGGGACTGTTGGGGGCGCTGTTTCCAGACATGAGCTGCTCAGTGCGCATGTGTGGTGAGCGAAGGGGTGGGGGGGCAGACGATGAACCCCCTGTAGGTCCCATATTGGTGGGGGGAGAGGGCGGCACGAGACCTGCTACTGCATGGATCGTCTACACGGAGAGAGAGAGTGAGACTGATGATGGTGCTAATGAGTGAGTCAAATGAAGGGGATCCATTGAGAGACAAAAAATGTACAGAGCACAGTGTAAAGGCATTCAGAAAGGTACCTGTTTGGTGGCAAAGGTGGTGGACAGGTATTCTTTCACCTGTTGCCTCCGAGACTGACGGATGTGGTAGTCTGTGGGATTCTCGAGGTGGGTCTGTACCTGTGTTATGGATGGATAGTGACAGAAGGGAACAATTTCCTATTAAGTTTATTAGGCACATTGATCCCATTCTTAATTGGTACTGTTTATGTTTGCCTTTTATGACGCTTTGGTAGAAACAATATATACAACATTTATAAATTAAGTAATTTAAGGTGGTTTAGAGACACCATATGTGATCCAAATAGAAATACAAGGAGGAATACTGAACAATAATATATGATATAAATAAGTGGGAAATGAAAGACTTACTATAAAGTATAAAGTACTATATTTTCCCAGAAAAAAATATTGAAAAGGTCTTGGACAAAAGGTTTAAACCGTAGCTTAATGTGAACACATTTTAACTTGTATCTTGAGGTAAAGATATGTTGTGAATATGAGCTAAAAGATTGTTTTTACATAACCATGTTGGTTAAATAAATACCAATAAACAGTGCTTGAAGTGGGCCGGTACTCACCGGTGCGCAGTACCGGCACCTCTACATTTTACTCTAAAGCGTACCGGCACCTCTTCTTGCGTACCGCTACATCTCGCATGTAGGGTGACGACCGGATTTTCAATGCCCTGTTCGGCGTCCGGCGCAGCATCAAGCCGACCGTAACGTACTGCCAACTTTTTTTTTCCACTTCAAGCACTGTCAATAAATATCACTAACAAATAAAGTACATCCGTAGATTTGAGCAGGTTTTCTATTTTGTAAAAGCGCAAACACCACAATAAAACAACAAAGCAGTGGTAACACTGGATAATCAGACACATATTAACACATAAATGGTTAGAGTGTCTTATCAACGCAGCATGGTTTATAGTCAATATGTAAACATGTACGACCCCGAGCGTATGCTTCAAATGGCCACCTTATCATCTCTGTTCCATAACACTGAAACAGCACTAGGACGTTGCAGCATTAAGTCAGTAGTAAAGCCTACAGGAGTAAAGCCACTAAAGCCTCTGGTGTGGCTACATGGAGCAATGGGCTGGCCTCATTCCTTCACATCAAAGAGTAGAGCTCAGTAGAGAACAGGCCCGCTCCCCGTTACAACAGAGAAAGACTCAACCCCTCAGCCATCCAACCACCCTCTGTTTTTCAACCAACAGCAAGATTATATCAAATGAACCAGAAACTCTTTAGTTAAAACATGTTTTTAAACCTTTATGCTAATTTGTGTGATCGTTTTCATTACAGCAGGTATTAACACACTGGTAAATGGCTCAGGAGACGCAGATGCATTTTAAGTCAGCGTAACAACTATTCAGTCGTAACTATTTGACCCATTCGGCCCAGCACTGTCAGCATGCATTGAGTCCAGAGAAACAGAGGGGCTCTGGCAGGCTCGGACACTGATGGACAGACGGATCGCCTTCTCAACAAAAGGAAAGGAAATACACAGACAAAGATTTCATAAACACTAGTCATGTCATGTCATGCCATTTAGTTGAATAGCATAATGGAGTATTGCGCAAACCCATAGAAACACACAAACACAGACCAAAGATAAGCACTCAACAAGCATCTTTGGAATCAGGCAAAATGTCCCTTTAGCTTCATCAGTCCCTGTCTGATTTAAACTATGTACATCGCTACGGTCTGTTTTTTCGCGAAACATGTCAAACATCTCTTATCTGGCCGTCCTCCTCCCCCCTTCTGTCTGCCTACCTGTTTGCTGATCCACCGCATTTTTCTTGCTCTGCTTTTTTTCAAATCTGTCCCTGATTTTCCCCTGTGTGGCAGTGCTGCCTCGTGAGTGGCCACAATGCCCCGTAAAGTCCTGACCACCTCTGCTGCGCCCTGCTGCTCAGCAGCATGTGAGTGGATTAATGGAAGTGCCATAGCCCCCCTGTCTTTTTGAAACCCCTCCTTAACCAACATCTTTTCTCTCTTCCGCCAATCCACTTGATGAAATCGGTTTAGCTTTTTGTACATAATGAACCAAAATTAGATTTTACTCGTTAATGTATTACTACTGCACGGTGGTCCAGACTGAAGTTGAAGGATGGTTTTCAATTAGCAATGGTTTAAATCACAAATATCCACTGTGTTTGTTTTCCAGTTAAGAAACTTCACCATACATAATTTTCGATAAGTCATTCCCAGACATTCACACAATAGCATGAAACGCTAATTGAATTACGTAATGAGTATATGAGCATTTAGAAAAAGATCTGAACTTGTATTGGCCTATTGAGTAAACAACGTGACAATAAATCAAAGCAAGTCAAATGAAGACATGAGCTGATAATAACAATAATAGTTTGTTGCAGCTCTACTGACCTTAAGAACCTCCACAGGGACCTGCATGCTTTGGTGATGCTGTGGGGTGCTAATGGCTGGCGTGGGTGCAGGTGGAACAGCCATGCATTGCTGCATGTATTGCAGGGCTGCATTCTGCTGCTCTATCTGCTGCCTCTCGCGCTGCTCCTCTTGCTGCAGCTGGTCTCGCATCAGCTGGACACACAACATACATGTCACAGGAATGCTCATTAAGACTTATATTAAGACATATAAGCTGGCTTTAGTGTGTGATGTTACTTTTGGCCTTTCTCTGCCTCCCTGCTCATTCAAGAGTGGACATAAAGAGCTGCTTGAAGAGCACAACTGGTGACTCACACATCTATTAAATCCCCTTGTAAGAAAGGTATGTGCAGTAAATATATGAAAATATTAGGGCTGTCAACATTAATGCAACCATGCAATTACTGTGGCGTAGATTAATGAACAAACTATTTTTACATAGTTAACGTTTATTTGTTTACTTCCGGTTTAACCGGAAGTTGACCAAGGAAAACGCAAGCTGCAGTCAGTTACATCAAGATGGAGAGAGCTTTTTGCATTGGAAGTAAAACAAATAGTGGTGTGACATACTGTGCAGAGGGATTACTCTATGTGTCAAACAGAAGGGGGGTGAGTGGCAAACGGACCACTTAAAGCACTGCTATGTTAAGCTTGCTGCTAGGCTAAGCTAGCTGCTAGGCTACTTCCATCTCAACATCTAACGTTACCCTGCGCGGCACAATCTGCACAGAACCACCACTGTGTCCCTAAAAGACAGTGGTTTGAAAACTGGCTAAATGTGCAGAGATTGTTGGCTCTTCACACACAGCCGTTAAATGATGGAGAGTTGAGAGGAAAGTGCACGATGACAGCAGGTAGAATCGCTAGTTCAACATGTTTAACCCAGTGGAATTCTGCCTCCAAGATGATCAAATGTGTGTAGTTTTGTGTTTAAAATAACATTAATAATTAAACAACAGTGTCTAAAATACACACTTTCTAAAGTGATTACTCATTACTTTTAAGATTTAGTCTTTAGAAGAAAACAGCATTGTAACAACAACATCCATTTAATTGTTTTTAATCTATTGCACCAAATTTGCCCTTTAAATGAATGGCAGAAGCACAGAGCTCTGACATTGACCAGAATCCAACAAAAAACAACATTAAAATAGTTTTTGATACTAAAAAAGCAAATGAATACCTTGTAGCCTACAGTCTGAATATTGGGTAGTTGTATTGTACCTGCATCCGCAGGCCAATCCGCGAGGCCATTGCGGGGGGTCGAGGGGGCAGGGGAGGGCGAGCCGACGTCAATGCACCGCAGTCCAGCCCGAGAGGTAGAGGAAGCTGTGGAGGAGCGAAGAAGGAAGTGTGAGGTGAGGATTCCAACAAGAGAAGTATCTATCAAAAAGAGGATTCTGCAGTTCAACTGATCTGATTGAGTGGGCATTGTTAATAGTTGCATTATCGATAAGAGAAAGAAAAAAGGCAATGTGTGTAATGTTATGATACACTTTTTTTAGGTACTCTTTACATTATTACTTGTCTTAAGTGTCATGTTAGTTTGACATTAAAATTGATCACAAGAGATAACTATGAGACTACTATGTCCATTCAGGCTAGGCTAAATACATCCCTGGGCCTTGTATTGTCTACACAAAGATGACAGTGATTCTCACCTAACTCAGACACCTGTAGGGTATGGAACCTAGGGCTGTCACGATATCAAATTTTTGTTGTGCGATTATTGCACCAACGTTTATTGCAATATGCAATATTATTGCAATTTTCAGACCATATGTTAACATAATAACAATATAATAGCATAGTAATACAAGTATGCCATTTCAAAGAACGTTGTATTTGTCAGAATAGTTAGGCATTAGAATCGGAATGTGAAAAAATATATCCTAGTTAAATAAAACAAAAGAAATAATATGTGCAAGGGACACGGAGCAGGGGAAGCATCGGGCTTGGTGCAATGCGGTCAGGTTCGAGAAAATGTGTCTAGCGGAAAGGCGCGCCGCGGCAGCCGGGGCGGTTTAACCAGGGTCTTAGACTGCTGTCTGCATAAGAACAGCCTACGCCATAAATCAGGCTTTGCTCATTTGAAGGATGAGCAGTGTACATTCTGTCTTTAAAAACAGACCACAAGGATTTTCATGCGTAGCATTGGCAATGGCCATATTAACTCATTATTTAGCAAAAACAATCAGCAAAAAACGTAATGTCTTACGTGTTACAAAAAAAAGTTAAAAATGCTGCTTGCAGGAGCCGCAATTAAGTTTATGTGCAAGTATTTAGATAACTAATTGTTGTGCATCTTATTTTTCTTTCCTGTTTGTACAACAATACCAAGCAAAAACAAACTTCTGGTTTTCTGTTTGGAGGCAAGGCTGCGAGTCAGACAAACTGGCCACCAGATTAAAAAAGAAATGGAGGTAAATCCTAAGAACAGTCCATATTTCAAACCTTTCGATAATTAATTTATCTGAATAGCTATATGTACTAATTGTCTCTATGTCATTATGAGTTGGATTGAAGAGCTATTCCAGAAATCACAAATATTGTAACTCTATTCAATTGTTTAAACAGTAACACATCCCCTAAATTTGCGAATTCACATGAATCAAGGAAACTGTGGTAAATCATTAAGCAGTTGCATTTACGGAAACAGGGAAATAACAGTAAAATAATACAGTAAAAAATAATAAATTAACTTGCATCTAATCTCTGTGTAGTTCTAACTTTATTCAATAAGATTTCATATGAAATCTCGTGTTCGAATGTAGACACTGCGATGACGTTAAGTTAGAAGTAACTCTGACTGGCCTCCCCCAACTCCGTACCCCCCCAAAAAATGTATTGCAAGGTACTCCATCGAAGACGCTGGAGAGGTCATGTGGGAGTCATGTGGTCTTGTTGTTCTTGAGTGATCATGTGAGCAGAAGGAACGATGGGGAAGACCCACAAAACTCAATAACTCCTCCTCTTCTCTCTCACGCATACACACACACACTCACAAATGTGTACACACTCAGTGGGGAGTCCCACAACGGACAGTTCCTCTTTTGCAATGACTTGTGTTCATCCCCTGGGACCCTGAATGACTAAGCTCATCTGAACTGTCAGAAGTATAATGAAACCTTTTAAAGGGCCAGTTTTCTACTGCGCACAGATGTCACTACTGTTTGGTAACGTCCGGTGGAACAACTACACACAGAAAAGCAGTGACAGGAACATCTAGCTCTAACCCAACCAATCAGGATCGGATTCCTCCCATTCCTCACCAGAAATGCCATCTATAGCCTTCATGGTCCTAAAGAGCAAAATGCAGAGAGAGAAAGGCAGAGAGAGAGAGAAAAGCTCATTGTGCGTGAGGTACAATAAGAAGGGCAGCTCCTATTGAAGACTGAGGCCGCCTGTTGTCCGAAGTGTATTTCATTTCAGCACCCGAGGGGGCACACACTGCCCGCTTTGTGCCCAATAGATGTCCCTCATGAAAAACACACACCCATGCAGAACACTCCAACGCAAACATGTACCAGGTAGTAAAGAGGGTGCACCGGGAACCGCAAGATTGGCAGTTCGAACTCTGCCTGCTTCCATTGCCCATGTCGAATGACTGCTCCCTGGTTTATAAATGTAAAACCATGGGTTAAAAATGGAATGTAAGTCGCTTTGGATAAAAGCGATAGCTAAATGACATGTAATGTAATGTAATGTACCAGAACTTGGGACTTATAGGCCAACTCCAAACTAGTAGCTCCTAAAGGTTGGCGCATGCGGGTGCGTCGTGTCGACGCACTCCTTTCAATTCATGGTTCTAAAAGTCTTGCGTGTGTCGCAGAGCAATTCACCACCAGAACAATAGGTGGAGTAATGTTTTTTGTCGAAGACGACATAGAGTCACGTCTTTGTGTGTGGAAGTCGATGGTTTGTTTATTTATTTATCATAGACTTTATTGCCACTGCTGCTTTTCATCACGGACACATTTGTCTCGTATTTTCCTCCACAACTTCCCCTCGACCGGCAAACCAACGTTTGCGGAGATCTCCCTCCATGAATCAGAGGCCATCCACGCGTCCTTATAGTCCGCCAATGACGGCTTGTATAAGCGGTCATATTTACGTATTTTCCCGATAAAAGCTCTTCAATCTGATCCATCCTCTCGTAAACATTCTTTGTTTTAATAATGGCGGTATTGTGCTATGAAAAAGGAAATGTGAGACTTCGGAAAGGATGTAGTTAGCAGACCAAACACAGCCTGTGTCCTTGAAGCATAAACTAGGCTTAACTGACAAAAATGACTAAAACACAAGATTCACACAATGGATTTTTCTATAACGCTCACAACTATTGCTGGATGTTGGAAGCTTCAGCAACAAGCCCTCAGGAAATGGTGCGAATGGTCAAGGTGCCTTCTTATACTGACACAAGTGTGTATGACAAATCGGGTGATTCAATTGCTCAACAAGGTATGAATGCCAGCCAGAGGAGGATGTGCACTTCATGTCTCAAGGGTCAAAGGATAGACAGGTAGGCTGTACAATCCGTCAAACTCAAGAGGGAAATTTGTGGTGAGCAAAAGTGATCATAAAAAGCATTAGAATTCTAGAGTTATGGCCAAAAAAACGTTTTTTTTGTTAGGTCACAGTGACCTTTGACCACCAAATTCTAATCAGCTGAAGCTTGAGTGCAAGTGTACATTTGTTGAAGAAATTTGCAAAAGGTGTTTCTGCGATATCTTCTTCCCAGATCGACGTATGAACAACCCGTAAACATAATGCACAGCATAACAACTAATGCCTGTAGCTTCACATGCAACACTCAAAGCCATATAATGTGACCCTTCAGCTCTGCAGAGGGAAATACGCATGACACCATGTTTACATAACTTACTTTCGGAAATGAAGATGTATGCTTTCTATGTAGCCTTTAACCGTGACTAAGCATTGACACATAATATCATTATACATCTTTAACACATGTCCGTGCACACTGATGGGATATCACATAATGATATCATATAGTGACACACTGCTACCAGGCAGCATGATCCCCCAAATGGGCCTTCCCATTGCCTGGCATCCACTGGGATAAGTAGGCATCTGTGACGCAGTAACAGAACACAGCGGACATTGTGTTTCCACCACTGTGATGTCCCAGCGCCTTCACTTCAAACAGCCAGTGGGAGGATAAAGAGCGGAGGAAGCCCAGGTCAGAGGTCCACTCTGGATTGTGCCACTGATTAGTCACAAACATACATGCCAACAAAGTTTAAAACATGAAACATGGAATAAAGTAAACATGCTGTGCACGGCTTTAGTTCCCTCCTATACATACAGGTGGAAAAAGTCCACACATTGACAGACGTAAAAGACACACACTCACACACACTTGGAGGGCAGTGTGCGACCGTGGCACTTTTTCTCAAAGACATGTTGTTAATTTGTGGAGTGTGTATTTTTAGAATTGACTGTGCCCTGCCAAGAAAGGCCTCTTCAGGCCTTTCATACGAGTTTAACCTGGCCATTCCCTGCTCCGAGACACAAACACACATGCATACAAAAACACTGTTTAAGAATCGACAGCAAGAACATCTTTGTTCAAGTAATTTTGTAGCCCTCCTTTAACCATTGCCAACCCCTTTTGATACGAAGTTCCAATCAGGTCATCACTTTAGTCCATCTTCCTGTAAAGATCACAAAAGGTTCCAAATCCAACACTGCACTGTCCACATCACCAGCATAAGTGCACATTCACACTCACATAGACACACCCTTTCCGCATAAGCTATCTGTCTGCTTGCTCTAAAGACTAAAATAACCCCCTCTGCTCTCTGTTCTCCTTTTCAGGAACACCCTGTTCCCCCGAGCCTGGCTGAGTTGTTTGGTTTTGTGTATGTTTCTGCACCAATCTGTGCGTTTGTGGGCAGTTGGGGTTTAGAGGGGGACTAGTACACAAAACGTAAAGCTTTGCAGCATCTGTCGCCCTTACAGGACGTGTAAACAGATCTAAAGTTTCAATATTCTCTAAACCACGGCCTCACCCATTCAACGGGTACGCTTGGTAGGATTATGTGACATGGCTGGCATGGCAAGCATGGCGTGCTTACCCATTCCTCTTTGGTCTCACACACACAAACTGCGGTATCCCATGGTGACGGAACACACATTCGCACATGCAGTCAGGAAGACTGTTATTTTTAAACACACGGACTGGTATTATGTTGGGTCAATTGCTGCTTTGAATATAAAAAGGTGTTCCTGTTATCACCTAACATCTGTACCACTTTCATCAGACACTTTAGTTAAAGAACACAGAGTTCATTAGAGCCAGGATTGTCAGCGGTGTGATATCTCGCTAGCCCTACAATCATTAAATGGTAGGGGTGTAACGATTCATTTTAACATTGATTCGATTCGAATCACGATTCATGGTTGCCGATTTGATTCATGGACGATCTGGGTTAATTTAGAACGATTTGATTCGATTCAGTAACTTTACTGGACAGTGCAGGCAAAGATTCTGAGATCCCTGTTGTTTCTTGTAAGGAAATCAGGTTTAAATTAATTATGGATATTATAAACAAGCAAACAACAATTGATGACAAATGTATTAACCTTTTATTTGAATCAAGTGCCATTTTCAATGTAAACATTACACAATAATTACACAATGTTTGGATCAATTCACAGAACCCCGGATTTTCAACCACATTGTAGGGTCGCATGTCTTTACAGATAAACTTGGCAATTGTTACTGTGATGTTGAGTTTAGTGCTGGCGAGGCCTGAGGTGTCTGCAGAGCTGGAGTTACCTTCTGCTGCTGCTGCAGCGATAACGCTGCTAGAGGTCCTGACTGTCGGCGTTGTTTAATCCCACGGCGCCTTAGTAGATAGCCAGAAAGATTTGTCGCGTTTCCGTGTTTTTTTATTTGGCTTCTACATATTCTACAAACAGCGACCGACTTATTTAGAACACCTCCGTGTTTGCAAAAGCCAAAATGTTTCCACACGCTGGATCGATAAGTTGGTTTGTAAATGTCTCGCTCGCATTCGTGTCCTCCACGCTGTGTTTTGTTGTTGTTCAGAGTTTCGAGCGGCTGCAGCCGCTGCGTACTGACGTCACAGAGAGGCAGACTGAATCGAGTAACGTTTAACGTGTCTAAGTGCTAAAAAAAAACAAAAAAACCACACATCCACACATCCACACCGTTTTTGTACTTAAATCCAATGTGCAGTTTCCAAGTATCGATACAATCGATTATGTACCATTTCAATCGATTTGTAATCGATATATGTCGTCCGGAAGGCCGATTTGCGGAGCACAGATCGATTCAGTTGGATCGCAGGAATATAAATCAATTAATCGATTCAGTGAATGAATCGTTACACCCCTATTGAATGGGCATACTATTTCTACTGTATAATAAAGAAGCACTTTAGGAACTGAGACAGACACATATAGACACATGTGCATTACCTGTTTAAGAGGAAAAGGAGTTCACAAAGGGGGGAAATACGCTCTGCTTGTGCTGCTGGCTACATATCGGGATGCTGGCGATAGTGGATGTCAATCTCCAGGACGTCGCGGGACAGAGAGAGAGATGAAGACAGGCGATGGCGGTGCGAACTGACATAAGAGAGGGGACAAACAAAAACAAAGAAAGAAACAAAGAAGAAAAGATGGTTGGTTAAAACTGCAAAATGGACAGGTGGAATAAAGAGCTGTAACAAAACAAAAGCTACTGTGATTGTGAGTTTGGAGGAGCAATAGGACAATAGTTGAAGCACTCAAGCAGCTGACTTAGGAAAGACGCACGCTGCATTATGTTGCTGGAGACAGTTTTGTTGCAGGTGGTCCTCGGCCATCATAGGGTCGAGTAGCGTTTCAAGCATGTTTTTTCAAAAAAAGACTAGGTCTCCCTTACTCTAATATTCAAAACACTACAGCGTCTTCCTTTTTTTTATACAATTAGCAAGTTCGGAGTTAAGGGTCAGGGTCAGTCCTGAATTGTAGTTAACTTCTGTACTATTTGCACACGTCAACTGTCCGCAGTGCTGCCACCAACTTGTCACCAACTTTTCGAAGGTCATCTGAATGAATCCCCATAACTCATCAACATTTTGTGCCTGTCCCCTTTTAAAAACAGTCTTAAATAATAGCTGACCGATCTGTCAATTCAGTCCCGCCAGTGATGTGCGGTGATGTCAGTAAGAGCGAGGCAGAGTTATGACAGCTCGATTACCTGATTTGTTGTTTAGGCTAACGCGTCAAATATGGCGGCAAATCACTGTCAAAATGCAAGACCGCAAATCAGGTTGATGCACACGCGTAAATCAAACATCCGCGGGCAAATGTCCGTCTCGCGAGATATTTGTCGCTCGCGGGACGTGAACTTCCTTGCGAGGCTAATCTCTGCTCGCGCTCGAAGGTGTTTTCTACGTGCGCGCAGTTGTTCTTTTTTACAGTGAGGGGGCGGAGCCAGTCACAATGGTAGATCTATATCTAATTGGTTACAAACCCCATCTTTGGATTGGCTGGAGCTATGCATTCACATAACTATAGAAGCCCATTTCCGCACTAAAAAAAGGGGATAGAAAGTCGAAATTATGAGATAAAACGTTGTCAAAACACAAACAACACCTCTCTGTAACCGTAGTGGACCACAGATGACAACCAGCTACAACCATAATTTACCATCATTACCGGCACTCCTCCGGCCGCACATTAAGACCAATGCGATTGTAACATTATTGATGACAAAGTAATTATTGCGCAGCGGGCAATTATGTTTGTCAGTCTGCATCAATGAAAACACGCACTGCTGAATATGAAGGCAAATGGCTTCCACCACACTTCAATATTAAGCACAAAATAGTTTCTGACTGACTGATCAATTGAGTATTTGTACATAAAATCCATCCGCCGCTGTTTTATCATGAAGACGGCGTTGTGAACTCGCCTCAGATCGGTGATATCGGCGAACACGGCCGTCATTTTGACTTTGAATATCGCGAGGATTACCCTTACAACGTAGCTGGCATAGTGACGTCATCTGCGCAAATGTCTAGGAATATCGCAATTTGAATTGGTCCATGTTTGAAACGTTACGTAGATGATTACTGGCATAACCTATTTGCGTGCAAAGGCCCACCAGAGTTGTGCTTTTTGACGTACAGGTTGTAGAATACAGGATCGAAGTGCGCATGCGCAACATGGGTTTTTTGCTTGACCGCAATGAATGGACAGTAAAAGCACTGCTTATTCTGCCATTTCTTTGTATTTGATTATGCGTAGCGGCTGCATTCGTCATCGTAACATCTAAACAATTGGAATAACACACATATTGCATATATAACTACAAGAATAAACAGTGAAAATATGAATATACTGTAAGTTTATTAAATAAAATGATGTAATAAGCTTGGCAGGGCACAGTCAATTAAAAAAATACACACTCCACAAATTAACACCATGTCTTTGAGAAAAAGTGCCACGGTCGCACACTGCCCTCCAAGTGTGTGTGAGTGAGGCAGTGCCTACCTTGCCTACTCTGACTGCACGTGACTGAGTCCCGCTCTCTTCGGGTCAGGAGAGCACAGACTGATGTGAAACCAGCGAGGAAAGGACAACAACAGGCTAATCGGCACAAACACACTAACCACCACCATGTCAAATCAAAGTACAACTCAATGAGATCTAGGAAAGACAGTAGACTAGCAGCGACAATTACAACCACAACGCATCATTTCCCCTTTCCTTTCAGTTTTCACAAGCCCTAGCTTTGACGGTGGTGAAGCTCCTTTCTTTTGCAGGTATCCCCTGGAAAAACTGAAAACTGTTTGTAATGCCACACCGTCTTTAGATGGAGATCTTTGCTGGTAACATTTTGGTATCAATGCCTGCTTTTTAAACAGAACTTGAAGGATAAAAAAGAAAATGTTGTTCATTCTGCAGTCAAGAAGGCAATTGTTCGTTCACATATGGTAATAGAAATAATGCCCATACAGCTATATTATTTTGCTGCGGGTGTGGTGCTAGTATCTTATGAGCTTAGCAGCACTGCAAATACACAAAATACCTCTAAGCACTCAGTTTCAGGCTCAAGCTTCAGTTTAACACGTCCTATTTTGTAAATTGGTTTTGGCAAGTTAACATGGAGAGAAGTGTCATTCTATGTGGTAACATTTAGTGTGTCCCCACCGGGCGACCACACAATCAGTACCATCGCTCTGACATTCTGCCTCCACTTAGCAGCACATAACAAACAATCATTATATTACTAAACAATGAAGTAATGACTCAGTATCTCTAGAACCTATTCCTGTTTTTACTGTTGCCATATTACAGGTCATTTAGCTGACGCTTTTATCCAAAGCGACTTACTATATATTCAAGTTTAAAAAAAGATCTATTTGACAACAAAAAAAACTCACCTAAACCGCTCAGGCATGTTCAGTTTCATTTCTGGTTTTACGCCGAGTTAGCCTGATTGAAGCTCAGATTAACTTTAATACATTAATTAACAGAAGAACAGGTATAACTTTAGATACTTACCGGCAACTCTTCAACTATCCCAAAGACAACATAGTGTAGCCAAGACAGATCTGCTCCTCCACGTGTTTAACCCTGCACACACTCCGTGACAGTTGCCAGTTGTTTGGCGACTGGGACCAACCGACTAGTGCATTCATGTGCCGTCTCACTAGTTGTGACGGCACTCCCCCCTCCGCCTACAGGCTGCAGCAGGCTGAGTGACAGTCACTGTTAGTCACCTTCTGCCCTCAGCTTCCTATTCCTCCTTATTTTCCTCCTCCTCCAATTCCCCTCCTCTTCCTGTAAATTAGCCTGAATGTCGTCGTCTTGGGCAACAACAAGGAGAGCCCTGTGTCCAGTAAAGTTAGGGTAAGCGTTTCCCCTCTTCCGCTCTAATGCGGAACTCCTCCTTCTGTTCAGCCTCCTTTCTGAAGCTGTGTACAGCATTTGCATTTAGTAACGCCTACACGTGTGCATCCATAAACACCGAAAGACTAAAGGCCCTCAACCCAATTTCCCCATTTCCACTGATGGAGAATGTGTTTTTCTCAGCTATAGGGCAGTGAATCAGCAAATTCACTTCTTTAAAATTGCACAACAGCACGCTACCACCCTACCACTCACAAATGCAAATACTAACCTGCATGCTCAGATGACAATAGGACTTAAAAGGGAAATAATATCATATATATTATAAAAGGTCATCTTTATACCATTCAGTATAGATCATTGATTTATTATTGGATCAGTGATAATTATTATTACTACTTATGCCTTATCACACACACCCTGAAGCATTGTGCTGACCAGCTGGCACAGTGTTCACTGACATCTTCAACACCTCCCTGGAGACATGCCACGTACCAGCCTGCTTCAAGGCCTCCACCATCATCCCTGTTCCCAAGAAGCCCAGGATTACAGGACTCAATGACTACAGGCCTGTCGCCCTGACCTCTGTAGTCATGAAGTCTTTTGAACGGCTAGTCCTGACCCACCTGAAGTCCCTCACCGACCCCATCCTGGACCCCCTGCAGTTCGCCTACAGAGCCAACAGGTCTGTGGACGATGCTGTCAACATTGCCCTACACTACATCCTCCAGCATCTGGACTCCCCAGGAACCTACGCCAGGATCCTGTTTGTGGACTTCAGCTCTGCCTTCAACACCATCATCCCGTCTCTGCTGCAGGACAAACTCTCCCAGCTGCACGTGCCCGACTCCACCTCCAAGTGGATGACAGACTTCCGGTCTGACAGGAAGCAGCACGTGAAGCTGGGTGGTTGTGGATTTCCGGCGGAACAGAGCCCCACCCTCCCCCATCACCCTGTGTGACTCCCCCGTCACCATTGTGGACTCCTTCCGTTTCCTGGGCTCACCACCCAGGACCTCAAGTGGGAGCTGAACATCAGCTCCATCACCATGAAGGCTCAGCAGAGGTTGTTCTTCCTAAAGCAGCTGAAGAAATTCAGCCTGCCAAAGACGATGATGGTCCACTTCTACACGGCCATCATCGAGTCCATCCTCTGCTCCTCCATCACCGTCTGGTACGCTGCAGCCACAGCCAAGGACAAGGGCAGGCTGCAGCGTGTCATCCGCTCTGCAGAGCGGGTGATCGGCTGTAATCTGCCGTCCCTGCAGGACTTGTTCGCTTCCAGGTCTCTGAAGCGAGCTAAAAAGATCGTAGCCGACCCCGCTCACCCCAGACAAAAACTGTTTGTGCCCCTTCCATCTGGCACGAGGCTGAGGTCCATCAGGACCAAGACCTCCCGCCACACGAACAGTTTCTTCCCGTCGGCAGTCGGGCTCATCAACAGAGCCCGTAGTATAACATTCTACCGGTCACTCCCCTTCATACTGCACATGTCACTTTAACTGTAATTTTTCACTTTGTCGCCACTCGTCACTTGGTCGTCACTCGTCACTTTGTTACTTGTTCGCTAGTGCACTTTATGTTTAATATTTTTTAACTTTTTTGATATTTTAAATTTTTAACTAACTTTATTCTCTTGTTTTATACTAACCCATAGCCTTATTCTACTAACCCATTGCATTAGCATTTCATTTTACTTTATTTTATTACTTGTGCACTGCTGTCTTGTTGTCTATTGTTACACTGGATGTAAGGATGTATATCCTTACATTTAGGTGGGCAGATAAAAACACTTGTCCCTGTATACTGCAGGATAAGAGCATCCTACCAAACTATATAAAATGTCTTTGTTTACCTGCGTAAGGACACACACGCACACAAAGACTGTACTGGTAGAAAGTGGAGCTGCAGGAGTCTTGACTTTTCAATTGGCTGACCTTAAAACAGTAAAACGGCCTCTGAACCAAGTGCAGTAAGATTGGTTTACAAGAAACAGAAGTCACTCACATCCTGAAACACTCCCGCTCTGCTCTCATCTGTGCCTGAACACCCATGTTTATGTCAGCACAAGCAAACACACACTCAAACACTTATTGGACAGTGATAGCTGGAAAACATGCAACAAATCAAAGAAACAACAAAAGGTATACCAATGGCTACTTGCTGACAGGACCATTAAAGGAGCTTGCTAGTGGGGGGATTGTGGAGAACATAGAGCAGAATATTTTCACAACCCCTAGCTTTGGAACATGTGGAAAAGCTTTACATGGATAGATCCAAAATAAGGAGGAAGCACCAATACAATTCTCAACTTTAACTCTTTAACAACTTTATCATCATTATTTTAGATATTAATCATATTACTTTACTCATAAACCGACATTACCCTCTCCTAAAATCTCTGTGCTCTCCCTCCCCACAGGATTCTGTGGATGGTGGTTCTATCTGATGGTGGTTGCCCCTGCAGTGGTCCTGCTGTGCGCCTGGCTTACTACTCACAATTACTTGAATCATTTCTGTCATAGGAATTGCATGTATTATACATTGTTCATTCTGTACACATGGCATCCATTGTAGTCTGTCCATCCCGGGAGTGGGATCCCTCCTCTGACGTTCTCCCTAAGGTTTCTTCCCTTTTTTCCCTCTTGTAAGGGTTTTTTCATTTTTTGGGGAGTTTTTCCTGTGCCGATGGTGGGTTTCGGGGCAGAGGATGTTGTATGTGTACAGACTGTAAAGCCCTCTGAGGCAAATTTGTAATTTGCGATTCTGGGCTATACAAAATAAAATGACTTGACTTGACTTGACTTGAACTCTGTTGTCTGTCATACTCCTTTATAAGGTGACGTGACTCAACAGTGATTTCAACAGTCAAGCTGCCCAAAAAATACTGTCCCTCATGTAACCTCAACTCATTACACTGGAATGCAGAGTGGCACACTTTGAAATCAATTAGCAAGTCAATGCCTCGGGTTGTTACACACACATCTGCACAAACAGGCTGTAAAGGCCACATGCAGAATGCCCATTGCGTGCAGCAGCTTGTTTGATGGATTCCCTATGAATAATGCATTGAAACAACTCTTCCATCCCCCAACTATTAGTAACTCTCCATCCACACTCTCATCAACCCCCCTGTATCCCTGAAGGCAGAAAAACACAAACACAAGTTTTAAAGTGCCACTCAGCTAGGTAGGCCTATCACAACACAGGAGAACACTGGGCAGCATGCTTCAGCAGTACACGGCTGAAAGGCATCTCTTGTTTGTACACAAAGCATTTAACAATAGGGCAGTTCTCATAGGGCCCGCAGTGTATTTACTGGGCTATTTTGGTCCAGGGGTAGGACCCCCCCACCTAAGGCCCTCAGATCATTGGCTGTGTTTCTGTCAAGTCTGACCAATCATAAGGCTTATATGTAGGAGGGAAATTCATTGACTAAGAAAGCCTTGTCCGCTTTTGACAATGGCTTATGGAGGAGGCAGGACCGAAACACACACATGCACACACATGCGTGCTTTTTCAAAACACACAAAAAACCAAGATCTCTTCCAGTTGTCGACCAGACAACTTTTCCTTCGTCAACTCCGTTGGTCATCATGGTTGCAAAGACATTGCAAACAAATATAACATACGTGGACCATCATAGACCATTATTGTAGCTCCTGATGGTAATTTGTCTGGTGGAGGTTCAAACCAGCACGGCTGACATATGGCTATTTTTAGTGGGAAAAACATTGCATGGCCAGGGTTAAAGGAGATGAATTAACAATTTGACTATTTATCCATGAATTGTATACATAAAACGCTTAATTTTGTCTGAACAGTATCATTCATTATGATATGCGCAAAAATGATTTGACTTGAGGATACCCCAAGTTGTGTGCATTAATATTAAGCCATCAGTAGTTTAATGATTCATTGTCTTTGCATACTATGTGTTTGTGTGTGATAAAGAGAAGGTAGTGCAACAAGCAACCAACCAGCTGCACAACATTTCTTTTTGCATCAGTGAGAGTCGCGCTGTACGTATGTTCAGATGGAATGGAAGGCATTTGGGAGATGAGCTTTGAGATAACACCTGCTCCTTACAAAACTCCTCTCCTTTCACTGTCTCTCATTCTCTTACTTTCTTTGAAAGTAGTAACCATTCCAATGAAGAATGAGCTCAAGGAGGGGTCAAGAAGACGATAATAATTTAGTGAATAAATAAGCTTATAACAGGAGCTGCGTGTACGCGCCAGATCAGCATCCATTTCTCGTACTGACCAAATATGGGGGCCGTTCATGGTTAAGCAGTGCAGTCAGAGGAATGCTGTCTCTCTATACACAGACCCACAACCTTATACAGTAGATCACTGTATTTCCCCTGCAGGAGATTTTGCTATGGCTAACACTAACAGATAGGAAGGAGATCCCGCCCAATAAAAATGTCAATAAACTCAGCCAGAGTAGTGCAGCTACTAAAATCCTGGTGCTTCTCAGCGTTACTAATCTGAAATGTGAAGAGCGACCGCCATCGAACGGAGGAGGAGCAGCCATTGTTATTCACACAGGTTCGTGTAACAACTCCCTTAATTTTGTTAAATACCAGCAGCACCTTGCTGCAGCACCTTGTACCCTATTATAAAAGGTATGTGTAGCAATAACAGCACACATTGATGCTAACTTGTAATGTGCGAAAGGTCCTCCTTGTTCATCTACTATGAACCCATTTTCCAGATTATACAAATTGTCCTTTGTACAAAGACCAGTCACTGAGAGCATCAAAGGCATCCCGTTTTAGACTAGCTCAGTCAACTAACAACAAATACGTGGAAATGGAAACAACTGTGACGTATAAAACAACAAGAAGTGGAAGTGACAGACTGTTTTATTCTTAAAAATATAAATAATCCACATGCTTTGGAAATATTGGGAAAGGTTGACATGGAGAAAATCTATTCCTTAGTGCAATGAAAGCAAAAAAAGGATTCCTTTTCCAAATGAATCTGCATCAGTGTGTGAAGAATCCAAACGATGGAGGCAGGATTCAGGAGTGTAGACAGTGGACGAAGACTTGATGTTAAAAGGTTGCTCCACAATCAACAGTAAGAGCTTGTTTTTGATTCTGATCTGAAAGCCAAATGTCGGAAATCCTGTACTTCTGATTTACCAAGAGCAAAGATTCAGAGAAATGTGGCCGACGGTGTTTGAGCGAGAAGGCGCTATGAGAAAATAAGAATAGAAGAAGTTGACACTGTAAGGGATGAAAGCCAGCCCCGGGATTTATACTAACCACATGCTAAAGACAATCAGCAAGTCATGGCTGCCCTATTAAAAAGGCAGAAGTGAGATTAAACATGAATTCATTTGCAAAGTCATGTCATGACCAAAAATAAAACCAGACAAAACAAAAAGTTATTGAGCAAAGCGGCTTTTCTGTTTCGATTACAATTAGGGGAAAACCATTGGAAAGAACACTTGGAATTGCATCATGGATAACCTCTTTGGATCCCCAGGGGTGTTTTATTAAGAGGGTGCAGCGTTCATTTGAGTTAGTAAGAATGTGTGTGTGTGTGTGTGTGTGTGTGTGTGTGTGTGTGTGTGTGTGTGTGGGTTTGTGTGGGTGTGTGTGTGTGTGGGTGTGCGAGCGGGGTTTGTGTTTTGCTTCTGATTTTCTTGACGAAAAACACACAGACAGACATGGTTTGCTAAAAGTGAAACTGCAAGAGAAACAAGTGGCAATGCCTCATATTATTTATGATTTTATGATATTGCTTTTGATTAAGAAGACTGTACTGCAGTCACTATGAGGAAAAAACACATACTGGTACTGTATGTCTGAATAAATCATGGTTGAGATTATGAACTTTATGTGAAGATACAAATGTAACTCCTGAAAATAATTGTGGGTCATTGTGTTGCAGAACATCCCTGTAGCTCACACCATCAAGAAAACTATCCAAACGTACATGCAGACCAGCTGCAGTGTGTGCTCAGAGATGCATTTGAGACTCTGTTCTTACTGATAAAAGAGAAACCACATAAGACAATCACTGCTGTCTGTCAGTCAAAAGAGGATATGAAACAGTGGAATGGAGATAAGATGAGGAAGTGGAGTCATACACTCAGCACATGCGCTAAAATGCCCCACCCACTCTCGTTTCTGATAGATCATGGGGTCATGTTGTCATATAGCACATGCTGCGATGTCATTTCTTGTGGTTTAAAAAGGCCAAGCTTTTTTGACAAACATATTCAGTAGTTGGTTTTCTGTGGCTTTTTTGCATTTTCAAGGAAAAGAACACAAAGACACTTCCTCAACAGTTTTTCTGGTCTAGTCACAAAGCGACAGAAACACTGTCTGTGTCACGGGAGATTTTTCCCCATGGCAGATGGCAGAGCTCTGTTTACGCACACCTGATGCTCTTTCACACTAGAGTACATCCATTGAGCCTCGTCAGTGTGCTTATGTGTGTGTGCGTGTGTGTGTAACGCTCCCTTTATTTACCTGAGGAAAATGAACCCTCGTCTCCAACACTTACAAGCGGATGTCAGTCCAATAACTCAGAGAACATGACCCACGCACACACTTTTCCATACTCACCGGATGTAAAGCCTGCTCCTATTCACGCACTTTTGTTTTCCGATTGTACACGTCGCACACTCAAACATTAAAGCCAGGGGGAAATAAATTATCCAATACAGCCCAGTACTTTTGCTAACTAGGACATCACTGAGACCATTTATTGAAAGTGTTCAGCCTTACAGTGTTAACTGACCCCTGACCCTTCACATTGTGTGCACTCGATAACCCCACGGCCTCCTCGACGTGTATCTGTCCCATTCTTACCAGTGCTTCTACGCTGTACAAAAGCTTGTGTTGGCAACAAGCACCGGTAAAGATATTAAGCATCTATTCTGCTGGAAGGCAACTGTTAACTGCATCCGACTTCTTATGAAGAATCTGAATAGAGTCATTTTACAAACAGCATATATAAGTCATCTATTTAAAGCCCTTGGACAGGATTTCTTAGAAACTTTATCAAAACACGGAGAAAAGCACATGATAACATTACAAGCCAATAGTTCAATCAAGTTAAAAGGATTCATTGATATGTGGCAGCGCTGTATTAGAATATAACTTGATGCCAGTGAAACTGCACAGTAGACGTTTTGATCTGGTTACACAACGGAAATGTTTTCATTTATAGATTCACTAAAATGAGGAGGCAGATAAAGGCAATGAAAATCCAAACACAGATAGTGGGAGAAAGGTTGTGTGTCTCTCCAGGAGGACGGTTATTCAGGTTTAACCACGTGATGACATAACTGCTATTTGACTTGCGCGCTACAACTCTGCAGCATTGTCGTGTGGAAGAAGGCTCCGCCTCGACACACATCAACAACACATTCACTTAGTGTTTGGATGTTTTTCAATACATAAATGTTCCTGCATACATACTGTGTGTATGTAGTTCATTAGGCTAACTTATGCTTCCTCTCACCTAGCCTGCACTTCGAGGAGCAAGGAGCTAACAAGGAGGAAACATCGGTGTATGCTTCAAGTGTGTATGTGTGTCATGTATATGCCGCACCTCCAAATAGTTTAATGCAACTGAAACTACTTAAGACCAACGCCCTGGAGACAATTATTTGCCATTCAACATGATGGGCTCCTCCATCCTCACAGCTTTCCCTTGAATCTCTCCCACCCAATTCCTCCAAAAGACCCAAGGGAGGGAAAGTGGGAGACGTGTTAGCATAATCAAAAGTGGAGGCAATAACTTTGGACCGTTCAAATCACGGTAAATAATTCTGTATGGCAAAAGAAATCACAAGTGTGGCCTGTATCACGGAAAATTATTCTATATGGAAAGAAATCAGGACTAAACCTAAAACAATTTAAAGTGGATTACAAATATCCTACTTTATTGCAAATGCTTTGCCCTTGTTCTGAAGATAAGACATGTAGTTCATTTAAAAAACTAACTCACATTAATTCCAGGTAAATGTCGAATGATATTATTAGAATAAAACATTGATATTGCATTACCGGATCGCATTGGGCATAATAACAAACTGCTCCTCACACTAACTATTAATAAAACACACAGTATGTAAATATAGCCCACTCTCCAGAGGGGACAAAGGGGGCATATGCGTCGGTGGTGCTTTCATTACTTCTTGTTTTTTGGAGGATTTCAGAGACAAGTACTTGCATAGGCAGCAGAGCCTGGTGCGTAGGGGTTACAGCGCCACAGCTTCTACATAGCAGCGTACACCGGGGCTGAGGGGTTGTTACTGACACCAGCCTGGCCACTGCTTATAAATGGCAAGAGGGGAAGTTCTCCACTGATGTAAAAAGGGGAAAGTGGTGCATTATATTCTAACCCAGCAGGTTTCCAAACAGAAACAGTCCAGTGCAATTTTATTTGGTACTATTGTTTTCTTTTAGTGTCATGCGCTTGAGACAAAAGCTTGCCTTTTGATTTGTGACGCTCCCTCCCTGTAGCTTATTTCGGGTTTTAGGATTCATGGCTGTAAGCACATATGTCGCTGGTCTGCATTACAGAGATGGTTAAATACATATTTTTGCAACAAGGTGGCAACATGTAATAGACACGTGCAAGACAGTGTTGGCTTTAATGTCCTCAGGAAAAAACGACAAGTTTGCTGCTGTATATTTAAAAAGCATCGCGACACTTAAATCTGGTCAAATACTCACTTGTAATTGTCTATTGACCATTCCCGTTCCCATGTTACTTATGCAGGAGCACAAGCTACATTTGACTCAGTGTAGGAGGTAAAATATCAACTCACCCGCTCTGAAGGTCAGACCGAACGAAGTAGAGAAGTCAAGTTAGCGAACAGTGCGCGACCGCTTCTCTCGTGCGCTCTGATCACACAAACGTGGCGGGCAACTATCGGAAGGGAAAAAAGTCGCGTTTCGAAAGAAAAAGTTTCAAGTCTCTCTGTATTTACGCAGACTGCCACAGCGTGTTCCACCATTGGCACTTCGGAGGTTAATTTGTTTTCGTTTTGTGCGTCGAGATGTTGTCACAACTGGGAGCGCCTGAGGTCACCTGCACCAGCACCAATAGCGAAGCGCGGAAGGGCTTGTGGGAAGTGTAGTTGTTGTCATGTCTCCCACTGACTGGTATTCCGAGGCAATGACGTGATGCCTGTTGACCGCGTAGGTTTTATGAGGTCCTCTAACTTTAGCCAAAGACTTCCAACATGACTTGAGGGTGACAACTTCATCTTTACCTATTATGTTTTTTTCTTAGTTTGGACAGGTGCCCTTGCATTTTGCAAGCGTGAAAACATAAAATATCACATTGTTAATTATAGGACCACATACATAGCATCAGTTCTGTAATGTGGTTTAATTGACATTTCGCAGGAGGCATGTGTGTAACTGAGTGATTGTGAAGACCACCGAAGGTTTGACAGCTACATCAGCAAGTTGAACGCCAGTTCTCTGACTGCGGTTAATGTTTCTGTTTCACTGGAATAGTAGTTTAGGAGGATAGAGTTTAACATTCAAACTCAGGCCAGTCAACCTGGGATTTATTTAACATCAGACAATGACAATAAAATTGTGAAATGTTGAATAAAATGTGAATGAATACATTCCAGGGGTTTGCCGAGTCCTCCCATATTGAATTTCTGATGATTGGCAAGCGAGAAGGGCTGACAGGACAGTATTCCTAAATGTAGGGTGAGGAGGGGTAGTGTGGGTGCCACCAGTCCATGAGCTTTACGCTGTGTACTGGATCCAGCACCACCTGGGTCCCGCCCTGATCCCCCCTCTTCTTCCACCGCTGGAGTGGCGTGTCCTGGAACATCAGACGAACGCGGTGGTGGCGCATGTCTGTGCTAACGTTGATTGTGAACTAAAAGAAAGACAGAGACAACCCAGTTCAAATTAGGAATAAGTTTAGGATCTTATTCCACTTTCATTATTAACTAGTTACAGCCAAGTGGTTGAATGCCTCCACCAAGCCGTTAGTTACAGTTTGCAGAATTATTTTAAATGTCATAACTTCAACTTTTGATCCCTTTCAACATGTGTGCGGTGTTATCATACAACTATATGGCCAAAAACGAATAATGACATTTAACCACCGAATTGTAATGAGTACATCCATGAGTCGACTCCACACAGCAGCCTCTCTGTGTGAAGTCTGCATGTTCTCCCTGTGTCTGCGTGTGTTCTCTCCAGGAACTCTGGCTTCCTCCCACAGTCCAAAGACATGCTCTGGAGATCAGGTTAATTGGTGACTCCAAATTGCCCATAGGTGTGTGAACGTGAGTGTGAATGGTTGTTTGTCTCTGTGTCAGCCCTGCAATTGGTTGGCAACCAGTACAGGGTGCACCCTGTCTCTCGGCCCATGTTAGCTGGGATAGACTCCAGCCCCCCTCCCCCGTATGAAGGATAAGTGGCTTTGAAGATTGATGGAGGAAATACATGAGTTCAGTGCTAAATTTGAAAAGATTCTTCAGGTATTCTTGAGACTGCCTTCATAAGAATGGAAGGACAGACAACTGAAAAATATCACAGCTCCAGCCACATTTATTAGAAATGGTATTTTCAACCTTTTTTGCAGACGATTAATAAGCTACAAAAGACTGAAAAATAATACAATTATAAGCATATAATGAGAAAGACACTGCCAGTGGGTGGAAGAATCTGGAGGTTTTTCAGTGTGAATCACAGAAGACAGACAATACTTTTATTTATTTGACAATTCATCTTTTACGTGATAGTAATCTGCGCAGTCTATAAGAGTTTGTAGCAGAGTTTGTGTGCTCTCTCTTCCATATAAAAGTACTACCTATTATTCACCAAAAATTAATAGCAACTAACCAGGGAGAGTATCATGCCCATGACCACAGGGGTGAAGATGAAGTTGAGTGTGGTGACCTGAAGCACGTAGCAGTCAGAGTCTGGGTTTGTGTGGACATCTTCGTATTGTCTGGGCATGTACAAAGACTTGGCACAACCATTTTTACTGTGTCTTTGCTGGGGAGAAGATGAGCAAAACAACCAAAAATACACTTGAAAGCAGTGGCAGGTTATTACTGACTATCTAAAAAAGGTTATCATATTAGGGAAGAAGTGCAGTTGGTTTAAAACAACCGTTTTTTACCTGCTTAAGAAACTTGAAGTTGAACTCCCACAATTGCTCAGGCCGAGTCCCTGACACCTTTGTGACCCAGAACAATAAACACTGCAACAGGAAACATTAAGCGCATAAAAAAATTCCATATTAACAGGCTATTTTAACTTTGAATATACACATTTCTTCTTAATGTCTTTATTCTTAGAAAAAAAGTAAGCTAAAAAAATAAATGATACAAAACACTTGACTAAATGTGTCAAGCCTAAACAGGGGGCCTCTATCATGCTGTGTTCAACCTGGTCTGGCTCCCTTTAAGCTACCTGGATATCACATCAGCAGGCTTTGTTGTTAGCCCCGATTATTCTTATTTATTAATAAGAGCATTTGCTAGGGCTAGATTTCTTAAGCTCCCCAGCGAATCACTAACTAATAACAGTAATTGTAAAAATCACAAAACATGATGTTTAATGTTATGTGGTTGAATACACATTAAGTTATTTACCTTGGAGTTGAGCAAGGTTGTTGGTGTGGACTCTGGCAGAGCAGGAATCTTTGAGACACGCAGGCTGAATGGCTTGTACAAATGGAAAAGCGAGCGAATCACACGGGCACGTAGAGAGCACATCCTGTCAATGCAGTCGGGCTTGAGGCGGAATGGTAGATCAGCATCAATCTTGTAGTGCCTGTGAGAGATGGAAGAGTGATAAAACAGGTTGATTGAATAAAAAGGTAATGTTTATTGATTATAAATAAATCATAAACATTATATGTAAGATAGTTGTCAATGTGACAAATATCTTATTACATACTGGCTTTTGGAGGGGACCGGCAAATTACTGCTTGAAGTATTTCTTCAACCAACCAACTGGTAACTTCACAATTATTTGTACAGAAAATAGTTTAAAAAACGACACGTACTTGTCCACCATTAACTGCACGTCAATATCAATAAAACTCCCTCACCTTCGGTAGAGCCTTGTCCAAAAGGCAGCGGTGCATGTGACTGTCCAGGCATTCCTACAGATTAGAGCAAATCTGCCCACATCCTCTGGCCGAATATAGGAGGCGAGCATTAACCAGACATCCACTGGATACTCCCCCCCATAACTGCTCTCACTGCTCTCTGTGAAAACATGCAAACAAGGAGTTTACTTCTCAGTCCTCCCTTGAAGGACTTATTCCTCTATGTGCATTACAGATTTTACAGAAAAAAATACCCTTTCTCCTCTTGTTCTTCTTCTTGTGTGCCACTTTAGTATCATGCTCTCCATCTTCTTCTGGGTCCAGGTCATCACTGCTGTCCAAACCATCCTCTTTGACACTCAGTGAAGACGATAGGACCTCCTCTACAGCACCCTGAGATGCCTCCAGGCCACAGAGTAATTTTACTGAAACACAGTGTTAAATTACCCATTTGAATCGTCTGTCCAGACGTGGCTAAATGACTGTAATGAAATGTAATATCAAAGCATGAAAACACCCAAATGTCAGGCTGTGACGTTAAACGTTCATGTTACCTTCTTTCTCGACTGCATTTGCAACAGCCTTCTTCACCCTCCCTGACTTCACAACTGCTGGGTCGGCATCAGCGTAATCGGCAACTGTCACTAGGGGGGAAATATATATAATGTGCATACTGTATGATATATATACATCAGCAGATCCACCTATGACCAATAGCGAGAGAAGGCTGACTTAACGTTACGTAACCAGTAACGTTAAATTAACTTTGACGTGGATGTATCTACCCGTTAGCTCTTGCAAATACTTGAAAACACTCACTAAAAGGTCACCCTAGTAAATACTCACATTAACTATACTGTAGTATAAGTTCCAGATTTCGTCGTTTCAATTGAAGAGTAGAAACCATTTCAACCGCATTGGTCTTGAGTGCTAACAGTGGGCGAGACTGTGTGGGCTAGGTAGCATTAGCGGGCCGGCTAACGTGAAAGGGACGTTAACGTTACCTGATTCCGAAAAAACGTCCCCAGCTCTAAATTTCAGCCGTTTTCGGTTCCCTTTCTTGGGCATGTTGACACGAATGATCTGCGAACGCTTAACGTGCACGTGGTTCCTGCCATGTCTCTATGGCAAGCTGAGGTAGAGAGAAAGAAAGAAAAAATTGAAAGCAATTGAAAATTGTTCCACCAGGATCTTCGGCCATCATGGAATGACATAACTTCCAAAGTAACGCGAGAGTATCGTTGTTATTTTCATTCTGCTGCTTTGCTGCCCTATGCTGGCCATTTCAATCATTTCTGCTGACCAATGGTGAAAGTCCATCTCGCATTTGACAGATGTTTTAGATTCCTTTGGAGGAACATTAACAAGTTTGAAGCAGCTGGACCTTTCTTCAGAATACTTCACCATGTTTTTAGTAAAATTGTTCCACTTGTTTCTCATTTTACATTTTAATATTGTGTATAGCATCTGTTCATGTATATATACATTTTTATTAACGTGCATCCTAAGTCTATCTGATATGTAACACACAATACCTCTTGCTCGCAGTATTCTTTGCTTCACTGGGGAGCCATGACATTGTTTCTGTTTCACTTGTTTCATCTGCCCATCCATATTTCATTTAACAGCAATATCAGCAAGTAGATACTTTCTCACCCCGCCCCTCTAAGGGTTCTAATGCACACCAGCACACGAGTGCGTGCACTTGCAGCAGACATTAGGTAGTTTTAGATAACGAGCATCGGTCAGAGAAGGAGGACAGAATGACTTACATTGTTGTCAGACCCATGAGTCCCAGTGCTAATAAAATCCTGCTGATGTGCTGTGTTCAGTGACCTATGTAAGTAGTTGGTGAAAATGCTGCAGGCAACAGTGTCCCAAAATGGCTTTTAACAACATTGTTGTCAAAGCCTTTAAAACTCAACTGCAAAGAGCACATCTCTTGGACAAAATTCTATGAAATAGATAAAAATCGTTTGAATGCTGTAGTTCACAGAAGAAATAAATAATACACCGACATAAAAAAAAGCTCCCCTGGATGTAGCGCATTTTTGATACTCAAAAGCATGCTCAAAAGAGAGCATGTGAGCTATTACATTACTGTAAAGTCCTAAACACTGCATCATAAACAACATAGCTACAGGACTTGCTGTCGGGTGCGGAATGCATGTGGCAAATACATTTAGTGAGAGTCACTGATAGTCATTCAGGTCAAGGCGCAGCTAAACAGTGCAGAAAGACGCCTGTAATAATGTATAGTGTTCCACTTCCTTTTAGATCCTGCAGGGCGCGCTCCTTACTTTCAATGCGATGTCTGCCTCTGTGCTCGGTTAAACTGGTGCTGCGAGAACGCGCATCGAGTCTCAAGAGCTGTCGGGTCATGCACGCGCCCAGTGGTGCTGATGTGAAAAGTGAATTACATTTGGCCAGTTGAAGGTCAAGTTAGTGAGAGCTGATGAAGCGTGATACCATTGTTTACAAATAATGCTTTAATATTGTTAAACGCCTGGAACTGCAGGTTAAACGCTGGGAGTTGCTGTCTTATTTCCGGAGCTGTAGTTTAGCAGTGACCATTGTAGATTCCCCCGCGTGCGGCTCAGTGATCATGTGTGTGTGCGTGCGTGTGGGAGGAGGAGTGAGCGTTCGTTCCGTGGCGCTGTGTGGAGAGATGGAAGCGGAGAAGGCGGATGCAGATAAGACTCGCTCTCGTTGTCCCCAAATCTAACGATGCAGATTCCACGTTTCCTCTCGGATATTTTTTATCTCTTTCTTTTTTCTCTTCCCAGCAACGTGCAATGATCTCCGTTGTTCTCGCGGGCCCCACCCCTCCAAACGCACTGGTCTATCTCTGAACTGTCAATCATATCACGCCGGGATTTTTACATGTGAGTGCATGGCGCGCCGAGCAGGGCGGATCTGCTCACGGGGGGCTGAAAAACGCCGGTTAATATGAACGAAAGGTCAACCATCATCTCTTCGACCCGATAACTCTGATTAGGTAAGGCGATTTAAAAAAAGGATGCGGTTTGATGCGCGAGGAATTCAGTGCAAGGAGAGTCAGAAGCGTATCGACGAACGTATTCGAGATCCGTGCTTCGGGTCGATAAAGGGCCCTTTATCAGTTACTGTAAGTCTATTGACCAGGTGTACAAGACGCACATATTCTCAATCCCCACAGCGACACTGCTCTATAGCGTTGCCCGAACCACAGAGCGGGTAAGATGATGTGCGAGGTGATGCCGACCATCAACGAAGGAGACTCGGCCGGTCCTCCCAGAGGCACCAGCGGCGTCCCCAACGGCTCGGACCAGGAGGCCAACTTCGAGCAGCTGATGGTCAACATGCTGGACGAGAGGGACAAGCTCCTGGAGTCCCTCAGGGAGACCCAGGAGACCCTCATTCAGTCTCAGACTAAGCTGCAGGGGGCGCAGCACGAGAGAGACGTACTCCAGCGGCAGATCAACGCCGCGCTGCCTCAGGTGAGGAGGGGATGGGGGGCTGTGGAATGTCGATATTTTGGTCCAGGGGAGCGGCAACCTAAGTAACAAATAGGGTGTTCAAGTGGTGATCTTGAAACCCATGGTTGTGAGGCTGGATTTTCAATTTGGCAAAGTGGCAGACTCATGCTGTTTTGAGAGTATGCACCAAATGACAAATGATCTTAAAATGCTGAGTTGGCGGTGGCGCATGGGGTAGAGAGTGTGCGCTGGGAACCACAAGGTTGGCGGTTCCCATGTCGAAGTGTCCCTAAGCAAGACACCTGATCCCTAAGTGCTCCCTGGGCTAAAATGTACAAACCATGGTTTGAAAATGTAGGTCGCTTAATGACCTGTAATGTAATGTAAAATGGCATAAATGGACCCTCAACCTGCTTTATCTAATATAACATATATACATATATAACAGCAAGGCCTTCTTTATTTCAGCATTGTGGTTAGCTGTTGCCTACCAGCCAGGTAACAAAATACATTGAGATTGCTCAGAACGTGGAAGGCTAATAGGGGCTGAGCGCCTCAAGGCTAATTAGCAGGTTAGTACCGCCATGGTGGTACTGATGAATTACACCATTCCTTGATACACCACCGCTAGAGCTAGACCTGACAGAATTGAAGACAACAGTTCTGCTGGGGAAGACACTGCTGCAATGAAATCACCGCAAGAATAGCTTTGAAGATGGTGACCCATGCCACTTCAGAAGCTCATAAATAGCAACGTGTCAGGAAGTAGGATCTAAATGTCTAGTGGGTAGAAAAGTACGTTTAAAGGTGGATGAAGGGTTTTTGCTAACTCAAGGAAGAATGCCTATTCAGGTGTGCAGGTCCCCTCCAATTGTTGAGATCCTTGCTGGAGAGAACGGCAGAGCCCACCGATCATTGTCTGGACTTGAACAGCCTCCCCTCTGCATGCGGTGACTGGTCTGTCGGTAGTAATTTCATTGAAAGATGCTGATGGTAAACTAGGATATTTTTGACGTTTGTCACCCGTGTGTGTGTGTGTGTGTGTAAGTGTGTGTTTTAGGGAAAGAATGCTGAATAAGGGCTGGTGCAGTCAGTGAGGATGACGACAATGAAGCCTCAGCACATAAAGCTGCGTACCCTCTGACCCTGCGGTCTAAATACGTGGCATGATGTCACAGTACGGTGTGTGAGTGAGTGAGTGTGTGTGTGTGAGATCGAGCGAGGGAGAGAACCATGCTGGCGATGACAGCCTCACTGCATCCTCTTGTGAAAGAAACATGGCCGCTTGCTAGTGTACATGGCCCTGGGCTGCTTGCCTTCCACACATGCATACATATCTGTGTGTGTGTGTCAGAGAGAGACATAGACAGAGAGAATGGGAAGAGGCTTGTCATGCTTGTTTTCTAATCTTGCTTGGTTCAACATAATGTTTTATTCTAGCAATAATACAAGTATTAGTTATACAGTCATAGACCTCAGGGACATTATGCAGACATTGTGACTGGCACAGACATGCATAAGCTCTCGCTACTCTCTCTTTCTCTCAAACTACTACACCCACACAAATCACAGCAGTGGTCATTTCCACAGCAGACACAACAGAAGGAGGATGATGCAACATACAGCAGGTGAAGCAATCCTGAGAAATTAGAAAATCTCAATTAAAATTGATTTCTACTCTAGTTTTTGTCTGCTCAACTGTAGAAATATGACGATAAACTGGTCTTGATGCGTCATTGGAAATTGGAGCCTGCCTCTTGTAAGAGTGTTGAAAATACCACCCTGTATCTGATATCTCTGGTTGTTGTGTTATGAATATATTAGAGCCATGTTGGAGCAGTTGCTGACCTCACCATTCTAAATGTTACACTGGTAATAATTTGCTCCTGCGCTCACATACAGTAGTTGGTGTGTTAATGCCCTTGATAACAACACAACATCACAGCTATTTGTTTGCTCTTGCCGCCTTTGTTGCGTAGCCCTCCAGTCAGTCTGTCGACATGTGTGTTGCAGACTATGGGGGGTATGTGTTAATTTCTCTGTGCTCCCAAGGTGTAGACGGATGTATGAGTGTTGGCACTGCAAAGCAGCCTTTTTTTTTCTCCCAGATCCAACCACTCTTCTCTTTCTGTTTGCCTACAAACATTTGTCATCTTCACCTGCGAGGTGCATGTGTCTGTGTGCACTTGCATGTGTTGTTGTGTGATTATATTTCTGGTATGTCAGCTGTAGGTTCCTTGACTCCATGGGACTGGTATGACCCAGAACTGTCAGATCTATGTCTCTCCTCCACGTACACACACACGCACACACACAAGCACGGACACACACGCACACATGCGCACACAAACAAACAAACACATCTTCAAACTGTCAACGTCGTCATTGTTAAATATGCAAAAACCCAAATCACTTGCACATGCATCAGTGCACAAATTTGACTCAGCAGTATTGTACAAATTGATTGACACGCACACAAACACAGACTCACGAGAGACCAGGATGGATATGTTCATTAACTACAGAGAATAGAGTTTTGGATTAACATGTCAACCCATTACTGTGCAAAATGCTTCTAATTCCACCCTCAGAGATGGGCTTTCCCAAAGACAAATTAGCTTTTAAATACACACTGAGACACAGGCATGCATGCACACACACTTATGCAGTAAACGCAAGTACACATAGCGCCTGTTCCCTCACTATGTGAGAATATGAGAAATATAAACATGACATGTCGGAGGTCATATGAAGCTATTAA